CCCTGTTTGCAATCTAGTGAGGGCAAATATTGTCTTAAGGGCAGTGTTTGACACGCTTAGAACATTTTCAATTCTTTGTGAATTTCCTTTAGTTGTTGAATTTCAGATTCCATTAATAAAGTTTCTTTTCTCCATCTTTGTTCTTTGGTTCATATTGTGTTGTTTCTTTTGTTTCCATCCTCCGATTTCTTTCAATCTTAAGACAATATTTATCATGGAATCAACACAAGAGTCTGCCATGAAAGTGATGAATCAAGACTTTGTTAAGTTGGATCGTCTTGATGGATCTGGCACTAACTTTAACCGTTGGAAGGACAAGTTAATGTTCTTTCTCACGGCCTTGAAAGTGGCTTATGTTCTAAGCCCGAATTCGAAGGAGATCCCACCGCCTGCGAAAGGAGAGTCTGATGCAATCAAGAAGAATCGTGCACAACGTGAGGAAGATGAGATCATTTATCGTGGTCACATCCTCAACAACATGTCAGATTCGATTTATGATCTCTTCTCAAATTTGAAAAACCCAAGAGAGATTTGGGCTGCCATTGAAAGGGAGTATGCAAATCAGAAACAAGGGGCAGATAAGTTTCTCATTAAAAACTACTTTGAATTTAAGTTACTTGCTAATTCTCCTCTTATGGATCAAATTCACAATCTCCAAGTTATAGTATCAAAACTAAAAAACATTGGTGTTGAAATCTCAGAATCTTTTGCAAGTTGGGGCAATTATTGCCAAGTTGCCTCATGCTTGGAATGATTATCAAAAGAAACTGTTGCACACTTCTGAGAATTTGACTGTGTCTAATGTTTTGAAACACTTGAGAATTGAAGAAGGGGCAAGACTTCTTCAAAACTTAGAAATTGGAGAAAATTCTAATAAAGTGAATTTTGTGGCTGAAAATGGGGCTAACAAAAATAAGAGGAAGAAACCTGAAAATTCTAATGACAAGAAAAAAGAAAAAAAAAATGTTTCAACTATGGTGTAAAGGGTCATTTTAAGGCCGATTGCAAGTCTAAACAAGAAGCAGAAGGGAAATAACATCCAAAGTACAAATCTTGTTGAAGATAGTGCACCGGTTATGGCGGTTATCTCGCTTGGAACCGTGACCGAGTTGAACATGGCAACACCACTTCCTTCCAAGGATTGGTGGTATGATTCTGGGGCTGGAATTCACGTGGGTAACGACAAGGATCAGTTTAAGAACTACGTTGTTCTTGAAGGACATGAAGTTGTAATGGCAAATGGTGTCAGGGCTCAAGTTCAAAGGCAAAGGAGAAATGCATTTGCAATTCACCTCGGGAAAGAAACTAGTCCTAACTAATGTACTTCATGTTTCTAGTCTTGTTAAGAACCTTGTATCAGCCGACATCCTTAATAAAAAGGGATTGAAGGCAGTCATTGAATTTGACAATGTAATCTTGTCAAAGAATGGGGTGTTTGTAGCAAAGATGTACTCTTGTAATGGCATGTTCAAGTTGAGTATCAATAAGATGAATGATGTTTCTATTTATTCGATTGAGTCTTCTTATTCTCTTTGGCATGGTAGATTAGGACATGTGAGCCATAAAGTTGTTTCTTTTATGTCTAAAAATGGCCTAATCAATTTAAGTGACTTGGAAAATAAGAAATGTGAAACTTGTGTGAAAGCCAAAATAACAAAGTTACCATTTCCTAAAGTTGAAAGAAATACATCTTTGCTTGAATTGGTGCATTCGGATGTATGTGAACTTAATGGATTTCTAACTAGGGGAGGTAACAAATACTTTGTGACTTTCATAGATGATTGTTCAAGATTTGTGCAAGTTTATCTAATGAAAACAAAAGATGAAGTATTTGATATGTTTAAAGTTTACAAGTCCCTAGTTGAGAATCAATTAAGCAAGAAAATAAAAATTTTGAGAAGTGATAAAGGAGGTGAATACTTCTCGAATGAATTCTCAAAATTTTGTGAAGATAATGGTATTGTGCATCAAACTAGTGCACCTTATACACCACAACAAAATGATGGTTTGGCTGAAAAAAAAAAAAATAAAACTCTATGTGACATGGTAAATGCTATGTTAGTGAGTTCTGGATTGCCAAATAATTTGTGGGGTGAAGCTTTATCGACTGCATGTCATTTGCACAATAGAATTCCGTCCCTTAAGACTAAAATGTCACCATATGAAATATAGAAGGGAAGAAAACCAAATCTGAATTATGTGAAGGTTTGGGGTTGTGTGGCCTATTATCGTGTCCCGGATAACAAAAAAACAAAGTTGGGACCTAGAGCACTCAAAAGTGTATTTGTGGGTTACGCTGAAAATTCTAAAGCCAATAGGCTACTAGATGTTGATTCTAATGTTATTGTAGAATCAAGAGAAGTGCAATTTTTTGAGAATTTGTTTCTCAAATATTCAAAAGTAAGTAGTGATCCTTTTTATGTGCCTAACACTACTCAAAATATGGTAATTCCAAGTAGTTCTTCTAGTAAGCTCAAAAGGAAAGAAAATGATTCTCCTATGGAACCAAGGAGAAGTGGAAGGCAAAGGAAAGAAAAACAATTGCCTTTGGACTTTATATCTTCTCAGGCTATTGTTTTCTTAGTTGAAGGCAATAGGGATTCTGTACTTAGCAAAACTCCAATTTTGCTTAGTGTGGAAGAAGATCCAAAAATCTTTAGAGAAGCTATGAATTCAAGAGATGTCACATTTTGGAAAGAAGCAGTCAATGATGAAATGGATTCAATATTATCTAATAATACTTGGGTTCTGGTTGAATTGCCTCAAGGCTCTAAGCCAATTGGGTGTAAATGGGTATTTCGAAGGAAATATGCCACAAATGGAACTATACTTACTTATAAGGCAAGACTAGTAGCAAAAGGATTTAGGCAAAAAGAAGGAATTGACTATTTTGATACTTATGCACCAGTGGCAAGGATTAGCCTAGGCTTCCATTTACGACTTACCAGTTCATCAAATGGATGTTAAGACAACATTCTTAAATGGTGATTTGGATGAAGATTTGTACATGGAGCAACCGGAAGGCTTTGTGCTACTGGGTCATGAAAACAAGTTGTGTAAGTTGGTTAAGTCATTATATGGACTTAAACAAGCCCCGAAACAATGGCATGAGAAATTTGAATCTGTTTTACTATCGTAGGAATTAAGGTTAAGAAGCATAGTGAAGGTTTTGTACTCTCTCAATCACATTATGTGGACAAGATACTAACAAAGTATCAACACTTGAATGTGAAGGAAGCATCTTCTCCTTATGATCGTAGCATGAAACTTTTTGTAAATAAGGATAAACCAATTGCGCAACTAGACTATGCTAGTGTGATTGGAAGCCTTATGTATGTTATGAGTTGTACAAAACCAGATATCTCTTATGCAGTATGTTACCTTGCAAGGTTTACTCATTGCCCTGGTATAGAACATTGGAAAGTTATCAATAGAGTCTTGGGATATCTTAAAAGAACCAAAGATTTGGGACTCTATTATAGCCGATTTCCTAGTGTTCTTGAGGGTTATTCTGCTGCCAGTTGGATATCTGGAAGTAATGAGAAGAACTCCACCAGTGGTTGGTTGTTTTTACTTGGCGGTGGTCCTATTTCTTGGGCATCAAAAAAAGCAAACGCTTATAACTCATTCCACTGTGAAATCCGAGTTTGTAGCTCTATCCTCAGCTTATAAGGAGGCAGAATGGTTGAGAGATCTTTTGTTAGATCTAGAAATTTGGCCAAAACCTATGCCGCCGATAACCTTACATTGTGATAGTGAAGCAACAATGTCTAGAGTATTGAACAAAGTGTACAATGGTAAATCTAGACATATCAGTATAAGACATAAATATGTCAGAGAAATGCTGAACAATGATGTTGTCTCAATTGTGTTTGTTAGAATACACAAAAACTTGGCTGATCCGTTGACTAAACCTCTTGCGAGAGAGTTAGTGGTTTCGACAACATCCGGAATGGGTTTAAAACCTTGTATCTAAAATTACTAACAATGGAAACCCAACCTTCTTCTAGTACTACCCCTAGATTGAAAGGTTTAAAGGGTAATAATAAGCTGTTTAGTAATTGGGGCACCAAATCAGTGTATATACCATTCCAAAGTATTGGTGCATTATGTTACTCTTAAGTGAGCAGGTTGAGAGCAATCTCTTAATGAAATTATTCATGATTATTCAATTACGGTAAAGTAATGAATTTGAATAAATTTCACCTATTTGACCATAGAAGTGGTACTGCTTCTAGCAAGAGTTTGAGGTTATCTCTTGTACATGGTCAAAAATCTAGGATGAACACATGGCCGATAATAGTGCTAAATGGTAATGTGGATCACAAGGAATGCTATGAGTGTTTGCGCGTGAACTATTAAGTCTATATTAGATCGGTTATTGGTTTAAGCAATGAGCCACCAATAACTTAGCTAGTTAGGTGACTTAATTTCACTACGATGTGGTTTAAGACGAAAGTCACCACCTCTTAAGCGCGATTCTCATGATTGTGTAATTATTTTATATTACAAACTAAGTGGGGGAATGTTGGAAATTTTAGTTTGTAAAATAAAATAATTAATTTAAAATTGAAGGATAAAATTAAATTGGCAACCCTTCACATGCTTGGTGATTATTTCCTATAAGCCAAGGGTTGTGTACTTATTTTGTATCATTTTATTTCTGCAAATGTTACCTATAAATAGGTGAACTAATACATGAATTCATTTTAACTTTTGCATTCCAAAATTCTGAAAAACATTCAATAAGTTGCAAATTTCATGTTCTTATGTTCTTAAGTCCTAGAGGCAAATTGGCATTCAACCATGTTTGCAATCTAGTGGGGACAAATATTGTCTTAAGAGCAGTGTTTGACACGCTTAAAACATTTTCAATTCTTTATGAATTTCCTTTAATTGTAGAATTTCAGATTCCATCAATAAAGTTTCTTTTCTCCATCTTTATTTTTTGGTTCATATTGTGTTGTTTCTTTTGTTTCCATCCCCGATTTCTTTCACAAACAATTAAGGCTCTTTTTCAAATTCAAAAGGAATAGCACGAACTGCTGATTTCTTTGATGAATTGAAAGGAACTTGATTATGAGATTACAAAGCGAAAAGGGAGCTAAAGAGATGTCGTATTGGTTGCATCTTAACAACTCAACATTTACACCTGCTACAGTGGAACCACCAAAAAGATTACCTATACATCAGTCAAAAGATTCGACATCATCTGCAATAAACCACGACTTGATCGCATTGCCTGCCTATCAAGAAGATGATGAAATCTTCTTAAGGCCAGGGCAGCTTGGAACTTCTTGTGCAGTAAGCTAGGGAAGAGAATTGCTATAATTAGCAGCTGAATCCTTCCATTTGGTCATGTGCATTGCAGGAGGTCTGGTGGATTCCTTTCTATTTTAGGTCCCCAGTTATCCAAGAGCTTATGTTCTTTGTCACTCACCCCTGCCACTGCATTCTTGCAGACTTAGCATCCGGTACCCTATGTCATTACTTTTCGTGTTTCTTAACTGCATTATGAGCCCCCCCAAAAAAAAAAGAGTTAGATCAAAGTTTTCTACTCATTTGAACAAGTATTTGTTCATCTAATGGTGAAATTGATTTCATAGACAAACACATCTTAAACAATGTTTTGCATAGTGGTCTAAAAGGTCTTGTAACATCATTTCAAGTTGATCTCAAAAGATATAAGGCGCCAAAGAAAAGAATAAAGGAGATGAAATCTTCTAAGTTGTAACAGATATGGCTGGTACAGGTTAGTTTCCTCTTTTCCTTAGATCATGACAAGTGAAAATATGAAGAAAAAGAGAAATCATGCATTGCTTCAGGCCAAAAGGAAAGTAGGGAAGATAAGGTGGTTTAATGATAATGCTCAAGTCCCTATCATATGATATGTCTCCCAATGAGCAATCACAGAAACAAGTTTTTACCTTTTTGAAACCATGATCTTCGAACAGCCTGGCGTATCTGACGCTCATGCTTCTCCAAGAGTTCATCAACTCTTTTTGATTGAGACAGCAACGGACCCGAAAATTCCACCTTGTCCCCTTGGTCCTGATATACCTGCTCCAAGTCCAAATTGAAATGGATTATTCTGAGTTCAACTGAAAAACTTGTATCATATTCATAAAACTCCTCCTTTGTGGGTTGCAATAGCATTCAGGTGACTATTTCATGTAAGACAGCTGCAGATAGTAAAAATTACTATTCAACATTAAGTTACCCTTTTTAGAGGAAAACCTTATCCCTGTAACAAGTTCTGTTCACTTTTATGTTTAATGATAAAACTTTCATCTCAAATAAGCTAAACAGAACAACTAAGCCTTTATCCACTATGTGAGGTCTCCCTATTTTGCTACCAAGCTTAATGAAGACATCTAACAGCTCATAAACTTATTGTATCGATTAGAGAAAACCCCAAAAAGTATAGACTCTATCTAATTAGGACTTTCCAAAACCAGCTAAAATGGGCAAATCATGCCATTGCCTTCGGCTATTTCATTTCTTCAATGATCTTAACTTGTGCAGATAGTACATCAGCTTGTTCATATTAACAAAATAAAAATTTTATAAGACTTAGCCAGTACTCTACGATGTCGTCAAATTCGACCATTAGTAGCAGTTGACTAACCACCAAGAGCACACTAGTAAAGAGAAAGCCATGTAGGTCATAATAGTTGAGACAACGGAACTTACCAAGCTGATTCTTTTGATAGCTAAGTCTTCTTTTTGATATAATGCTAGCGACAATTCTTGCGAGTGGTATCCATCAGAACCATCAAAAGAATCTGGTTCCAATTGACCCCAACCTTTGACCGTGTAGTGGTTGAACCTTTCACCAGATTCATGACCTTTAGAATTGGTTCTTTGTCCAATTAAAGTTTCTCCATTTTCATTCTTTTTCAACTCCATATTATTCCTTAAATTTAATGCACCAGAAGGTTCAAAAATAAGACTTCTGGAACTAGATCTACTCCGCGATCTGACGGAATCATCTATCCGCCTTCTTGCCCATGCAAAACCACTTGATCCTGACACTTGTAAAGGACCTGAAAAGGGGACATCGCCTTGAGATGCATGTTTCACATGAGATGCCTCTTCCCTTAAATCATTTGGTGGCTTAGGTGGCTCCAACCCGAGAACAAGATCACCTTCTTTACTGATACTATCACTATGGCCATTAATTTTGTGTGCACCTTTAGGTTGAACAGGCAAATTCTGCCAGGAGAAATGACACAAAAATGTTAAAAACCAGAAGCATCCCTCAAATAAAATAAAATGCATGCTCATCTTATTAGTTATGGGATGAAGTGATGAACAGCCGTGGTATCCATGCATATGTGTATGTGTTTGGCTAGGATGGAAGAGAGAGAGAGAGAGGGAGAGAGAGACAGACCTCTTCCGGGGCCAATTTGCTTGCTCCATTCTGTTTCCTAGCAAGCTTTTTCACTGGTTCAGGTCCACGAGCTCTTCCAGTAGGCTTCTTCCTGAAAAATTTATATAAAGCTTACTTAAATTAAAGACATTATTTTAACCAAAAAAATAAATAAATAAATAAAGACATTATATAACATTTATGGCAATAATGTCATGCAACTACCAAAACATAAAGAAATGTCATTGAAAAGAGAAGGGTTTACTTCAAGAAACCAGTGGATGATTGCATTTCCACAAACTAGTAATACAGAATATGAAGCAAAGAAAATTAGGACGCGAGCCTGCAAGTCTTCAACTTTTTTCACGCGAATGAGTTCATAAGCGATGAACAGCTATTACCTAACTAAAGATTCTCGCAAGTAGTTTAACTCTTATAACAAATATATTCAAACAAAAGTATTCCCCAAAATGTGAAGCCATCATATTGAGCTAATGCAAAGTCCAGTCAATCAGGGTTCAACAGTCCACAAGATGGCATTACTCCTTTCTCCCAGCAACGACATAATGTTTTCTATTGGTTGTAGATGGTTTTCAAAATTTATCTTCACATTCCACCATGTTGAAGAGGACTTCTCTAACTTAATACACGGAATTCCCAACTAATCCAAACACAATGATAGACCAGTGAAGTAAACAACGATAAGTTGACAAAGATAGTCAAATTTAACATTATATCGTTATTTCAAGAGTGCATCAGTCGCTACCTGAAGACATCGCATTTGAAGGCCATTTACAGTTTCCATAAGCAAAACTAGCGTGATTGGCTGCAATACAATGCAGCTATAAAAGAATCTTACCTTCGGTTGTCCTCACGATGTTTGGCATCAATCTCTTTACTTGGAGGATACTTTGGCAAGCTTGAAGGATCGCATGCATAAGGCTTTGTCTTGAAGTACTGAAAATCAAAACATAATGAAAGCTTAGTGAGTGAATAAAAAAAATCAATGACAAAATTCAATTTGATTTAACAGTTAGATGTGCAAGTAATTACAGACCAAAGACTGCAACAACTAATTCGCGTGATGGGATGGGGAAGAACTAAGACAGAAGCAAATTCATAAGTAGCACATCACATCTAATGATTACTTCAAATTATTTAAGCTAAGTCACATGAAGCAACAGAGTCAATGATTTTCTATTCTAAAAAGTAGACAATATTTTTATGTCGGGGCCACGTTTGAATCAAATGTACCTCAGCTGCAAGGGCGGAGGAAGCAGTACCCCGCTTGTGAGGCTCTACCGAAAGTAAAGTTTCTATGAGTGTTACTGCAGGTTTCGGGAGATCTTTAAGGGTCTCCCATAGACTGCTCTCGTAAGGTTGTTGCGGTTTAAATAGAGTAGCATGAGGAAGTTTAGATTTCTTCCAGTAATCATCTGGAGGTGAACCACAGAGCTTGAAAATTTTGTGCAACTGTTCAACCTGTAGTATGATGAGGACAATTTGCCGTCATTATCAGAAATATAATAGAGTGCAATACAGTTTTCATACAAATTGATATGGTGATAATCTATGTGCATCAAGCATGTTATAGAAACTTCGAACTACCAAAAGGATAGGTGTATTTAGTAGTTTAAAGAAATATTCTTCAGATGGGAACTTGATATAACAGTTCTTTGTTACACGTACTTAAGATATTAATACTGTAGAGAAGATTACGAATGCAGAACCTCATGATTCATTGTAGTCTTCCGGAAAACAAGGCAATGAAAATCAGAAACCCAGTGGAAGTATGTAAAGGGGTATTAGATTCTTTAATTATTAGTTTCCTAAAAAGTTGGACCAGACAGTCAAATTATCATGTCTGAAAGATTTGTTACCTCAGTTCGGCCCTGTAAGATGGGTTTGCCAATGAGAAGCTCAGCAAATACACAACCAACACTCCAGAGATCAACCCAAGCTCCATAGTCCGTAGATCCCAACAGAAGCTCAGGAGGACGATACCACAGTGTGACAACTCTACTAGTAAGAGGTTGCTTTTGGCCAACATTGCAGAAGTTTGCGAGCCCAAAGTCAGCAACTTTTAGAACTCCATCATTACTTACCAAGAGATTAGCACCTTTGATGTCCCTGTGCATTACTCCACGTGAATGACAGTGTTCTAATCCGGATAAAAGTTGCTTCACATAGCACTTAACCTGTCGAATAATACTTCTGGATGTTCAGTAAAGTTGCAAGCAGAAATGAATCAATGCAGCAGAGGAGTAAGCATTCTAGGAAAATTGAGAGCTATCCCATGCTTAAAACTCAGTGAACAGAAGTTTGCCCACACTTCTGCAGTAACTAGATAGATTATGCTTATTCTAAGACAAGGCAGGTGACCACTACTTCATATACACAATATTTTGCAGGTAACCCAAAGATACATTAATTAGCATGCCAAAATCACAACGGCTGAGATCAAGAAGCAAACCTGAGCTTCACTGAATTTGATATCAGGATTGGACAGTAATCCTGATATGTCATGTTCCATGTACTCAAAGACAAGATAGATACTACATGACAATCGAGAAGTAATTATTCCCTCCAACTTTATGACATTTGGATGGTCAAGCCTGCGAAGGATCATTATTTCCCGAGCCATAAACCGGACACTTTCAGGTTCAAAATTGTCAAACCGAACCTTCTTCAGAGCGAAAATCATTCCTGTTTCGAGATCACGTGCCCGAAACACACTGCTATAAGTACCTTGACCTATCTGTTCAAAGCAAAGAAAATGTACAAAAGTCCCATTAGATTGACAACTAATCACAAAATTTGAACAGATGGCTAATATGTTCACTGTTATGTAGCAAGTGTACAAGACAAGTCAGCAAATTCATAAAATACCAGATAATGAAGTGAGAATTAGCATAATATTTGAGTTGGGGCTCAAAATAACACTTTCTGGTCCAACCCTGGACTATCAGAATCATAGTAAAATCTTTGGCAATATGTGATAATTCTATCCATGTGAACAGGATTCTCTAAAAGGTAAAAACAAAGAACAGAATAACGAGAAAATTTTGCCAGACAAAAAATTTGGGAAAGAAAAAGACAAATCTTGTCAGCAAAGTGGAATTTACATTCATGGCTAACAACATTCAATTTCGAAGAGCATCATGAATAAATTTGGCGATAATGCCATCAAACAAAGAAAAAGAACTAAAATTCAAAGTTTGCTCACAAGTCTTCAAACGTTTATGCAAACTGACAAAAAAAATCGATTTTTTCCAACCACTAAACTACCCTTCAATCTTCTCTGCCTCCAGAACAAAACAAGAAGAGACATTCCTTACAACTTGAAAGGGAAGAAGGAATAATCACAAAACATGCAAAAAGGACATCTTCATCAAACTCCAATTTATACCTAAAATGCGACAAAAAAAAAAAGGCACACATGACATGTTCCATTTTCAGAAGAGCACCTCTCCAAAGTTACAGTTTTTCTGGGAAATTCACAAATGTTAAAACGTGAAAAATGCAAAATTGTGATAAAGGGAATCAGAATTAGAAACCTTTTCAAGCTTTTCATAAGACTCTGCTTTAAGGGGAACCCAGCCTTGAATAGCTTCACCAGCCACAGCACTAAGCCAAGCTGGCCATCCAGCTGCAACTTGTTCACCTTCAATATACTTCTGCAAATTCCCTAACCTAAAACTCACTGACTCACTACCAGTGCCGGTCCCACCGCCATTACCACCATTGGAACTCGCTCTCCCTGACTCACCCAACTCGCTCCCTCCACTCAGCCCAGAATCGCTCCCTCTCTTCTTCACTTTCTTCAAATCCATCTCAAACCCAAGACCCAACCCGCCACTCCCAACCCTGCTCCGACCCGAACCGATTCCGGCATTGTCCCGGAGCGTGCCGGAGTGATCAATCGCCGGAGTTACCGTCACCGCCTGCTTAGAAGTCACACAACCCATGTTTTCGCTTACCTGAAAAAAATGTCAAAACCCCGCCACCATTTGGGAGTGGTTCTGATTCTTCACTGTAAACTGAACTCAACCCACCTCATTTTCTTGAGAATCTTGACCCGGGTCAAGCTTACTTTTTCGAATTGTTGCGAATTCTGCATATTGTGACGCTGAGTATAAATCAAAGGAATAAAAAAGAAAGTTCTTTATGGCGTCACTATCTCTATTTGCTCTGTTTTTAATGCGGCAATTACGGGAGATTAATAATGAGAAAGAAAACAGTACGGCTGCTCTATGTGTCGTGTGGATGCGTGAGTCCACCTTCGTGTTTAATGGGGCAGCCAAAATGAAAAAGAAAAGAGAGAGAGAGAGAGATCACAAGAGATCAGTAAAACTCGAAAAAAGAAAGAATGAGTTCATGCGAAATTAACGGAATGAAGAAAACAGGGGAATGGAGATGACTTCAGACTTCTTTCTGTTTGTGTTGTGGGCTTCCATGGATGATTTTCAACGTTTTTCTATTTATTCTGTTTTTTGTACCATATTTTTACATTAACGTTAGTGGTCCATTTTGGAACTTTCTCTGTGTTACATCACTTGCATGTTGTACTTATTAATGTATTTTGTCAATTTCTTGTAAAAACTTAAAATCAAAGAAACCAACGATTTTTAGTATCGAGTGACATGTCTCCTTGTATACATGTCTTCAGCTCGAGACCTGTATTTTGTTCATGGGCAAATGATAATAAAATATTTGTCAAAAGAACAAATGTAACTAGATGTTCCTCCGTTCTAAAATTTTATCCAGTTCGAATTGTTACTTTAACTTTAATTTATACTAAAAATGAAAAATTTAAATTCGACAATAATTCCAGGATGAAAGGAATAAATATGTTTAGATATAATTTTTTTTTTTAGCATACCGCATACGATGTCTGAAGTGCATTACATTCTGACTAATTCACACCGAGTGAGGTCGGTCTTTTTTTGGAAGAAAGCTTTACCAATATTAATCTTTTCACCGGAGATTTCGCTTAAAAAAACCAAAATACTTTATCACTTTGGCCAAATAGTGTATGTTTAGATATGATATGTATTTACTTAAAATCGCTTCATGATTTATGTAGTAGAAACACAACTCATCCACTAGAAAGAAAGCAATGGAAATGGCAGTTTTGACGTGGGAAGTACGAGCTACGAGTCAAATCTTGCAGGACAACTTTGACTTTGAAGATGAGAGAATTTGTCTAGTTGGGATCTTAAAATAATGCCAATTCTCTAATGCTGTTACAGTATTTTGTAAGTACATTATATGAACTAAAACAATGTTCAATGTTCACACTTGAAAGTTTCAAAGCTCAAATCCCTATCTTAAGGCTTCTATGATGTATTGGAGTGTTCAAATTTGGGATTGGAGCAGAATCTGACAATCAAATAAGGCTGGCAAATTGGAATAATAGTCATTTTTTTTATTTATTTAAAATGAAACAATAGAAAAAGAGGGTAGGGGGAAGGGAAGTAATAATGTGTAATGGAGTGAAATGAATGGCAATAATGAAGCGCGTGGTGTAGTTGGTTTACTTAAAAGATTTTTGGGACAACATGTTGTGTTTTTGTTTGGGGTTGGTGTTGACTATTGTTTTCAGCGTTTAGATTTTGTTTAGTTGATAATAAACATAGTTTAATCAAGTGGAGTTGGAAGATTGGGGGAGAAAAATAAGGGAATGGATTGAAAGGGAAATACACCGAGAGATCATTAAGTCAGAGAAAAGAATGGCAATGTTTTTTAGGCTAGTCAACAAAAACTTGGATAGACCCTATCGGAAAAGTGTTAAAATGTTTGTGCATGTAAATCACATTGTTCCTAGAGCAACCGTAAGAGATCTAACCAATTAAGATTAGGAATTACTATTTCCGTGGTTTCAAAATTATTGTCCAATTTTACAATTTTATTTTCAGTACAATAGAAACTTAAATGAACATCCAAACTGAATACTAATTTTGGTCCGGAAAGAGTAGAAAAATTTTGTTCATTGTTTTCGCAAAACGAAAATGCTTAAAAATGTTAAACTCAAATTACCAGACTTGAAAAGATTAGAGATATTTTTTATTGATTTCTGGTTGAGATTTTGGCGTTATAAAACAAAGATTGAAAATAAGTGGTGGAGTCTAGAGAATTGGAGAGGGAAGAAAAGAGAGCGAAAGGAAAAGATACATTATTAACTCAGAAGAAAAGAAAGACAATGTTAATTTTTTATTGAAAGAAAAGAAAGTAAAAGTGAGAATTTTTATTTTATAGAGTAGAGGGGAGACATTGGATGTCTCTTTTCCCTTTCACCCATTCTTTTTCTATGTTACCCTTTTCCACTTCTCACTACCAACTTTCATTTCTGTCTACTGTTTTAGATCCCACTAGAAAAGAATCCCAGGTGATGGATTTCATTTGTGGTTAACGATACATATAAACGTTTGCTAAATTGGGGAAAAAATGAAAAGAAAAAACAATTAAAGCCATTGCTTTAACAACTAAACTATAAATGAAACAAAATGTATGCTAACGATAATAATCGTTACATCCTGACAGGATTGTCTAGTTTAAATTTTTATTTTTAACATGAATTATATTAAAAATAAAAAATTAAATAAATAATAATTTTAGAACGGAGGAACATTTTACTTTGTAGAGTATGGGAACTGTGGATAAAATAATAGTTTCCAAACAATTAATCCTAATTCATATCAATTTCACTCCTTGCATGCACTTGCATATTACTGACAAAATTGGATACTCTTATTAACTTATTTTAAAAGTTTTGCTTGGTTATATTATTTTCATTTAATAAATTAATTTTTCAGTTAATTAATTACGAAAGAACATGAGAACATTCTATTTTCTTACAACTTACGAGTAAAGTATAAAATGAAATTCCCTCCGATGGAAACTCCTTCGGAATTAATAATTTATTTGTAAACTAAGTCATTTCATTGCATTTCCTTTTCTTGGGAGAAACTCTACTTCAATAAATATGAAGCTAAACGATGTAAATCACATCAATTGTCCCAAATATGGATGATATCATGTGTTACAAGACTTTACATCCCGATTTTGTCTGGAATTATTTCATACCAAAATGAGTCAACAAAGTGATGTAATGCCTCCAAAGTGTGTCCCAAAATGGCTGATCACGGACCTAGCTTTTTCTGTGTTTAATTATGTATGTACATTTGCAAGAGAAAAATTGTCAGCACAAAGAAAAAAGGAACTAAAAGAGAATAAACCAAGGCCGACGTCAACATATATTGAATGAGATTCTAATTAATTTCTGAGTTCATACTCATACATTGACATCTTATTGTCTGCACATCTAATCAAATCTTATCTTTTTACACTAAAGGCTGAAAATTCAGAATCTATTAACTATCCCTGTCTGATTATGCACACAATGACACAAATACAAAGAATTGAGAAAAATTGGCTGATCTACCCATAACTTTACATGCGTTGTCAATTCTACCATATTCTTTTTCAGTTAGTCAATATTACCCTTAACTATCCAATCGCTAGCCGATTTTGTCCAATTTGCTAATTTCCGTCTGAATTAATGGAATTCTATTTGTTTTAATTACAAATATACCCTACTAATTTTAAAATTTATAAAAATAATCCCAAAAATTTATAAAAATAACAAAATAGTCTCTTTTCAGTTTTAATTTAAATTTTTCTGTTTTTTATTTCTTTTTACTATTTTTCATAACCATAAAATACACTAATCTTTTAAATAAATAATTTATTTCTAAACACTACTGTACGAATTTATAGATATACATTTTGTAACTCATGGTTGATTTACATAAACATATTAATTTTTTTAATAATATGGCTAGACAATAATGATATTATTTTTTAATCTATTTTTTTCAATTTAAAGAATAATATTTTTTTGACTGAAACTAATTTTTTTTTACCAAAAAAAATTAAAACATTAGCATAGATAAAAAAAATAATATATTATTATATTTTAATTTATTACAAATTAAATAAACAGACTATAGATTGTATTATCCAATTAAAATAATTATTAAATTAAAATATAGGATACTGTCTAGTGTTTAGGGTTCATGAGAGTAGATATAAGATTAATTCTCACCAAAAGATTTCTAACGTGAAGAGTGATTTTACCCACGTTTAAGTGGGGTCCACTAAAGGTAAGAGAGTTGAGTTGGATGGTCAGGTGATTTAAGATATGAGATGATTAAAACTGTGCTGGAGGTCTCGATTCTCACTGGGGTAGTCTAATTTTTATATATAAAAAAGGTGAGGTCCAGTACTGGAGTAGATTTTTTGTATTTTTTTTTTAAAAATGACTTCCTGCTTAAGTTAGATATATTAATATCTCAAAACATTATCACAAGATGTTAAACCCTCGCAGCAATAAACATACATATTTTTTTATAAAATTTTTTGTTCTATTTTTTGTAAATGCCACGACACTATATTCTTGTGTTGGGAAAATGTAGAAACGAAATAGTTTTTTTTTTTTTTTTACTTTCTGTTCGTAGTTGGCATTTTAAAGGAAATTTATATTTTAGTTTTAATTACTTTTTAAATTTTATAATACAATGTAAAGTCTGTTGAATTATTTGTAATACATTAAAGTATACCAATAGGTTCTTTTTTAATCTATGCTAATTGTTTAATTTTTTGTGCAAAATTAGTATTAGTTAAATAATCTTACTCTTTAGATTGAAAAAAATGGATTAAAAAAATAGTATCATTACTGTTAAACCATATTATTAAAAAATTAATATGCTTATGTAAATCAAACATGGCTTACAAATATGTAATTATTAATTTATACATTAGAGTTAAAAAAATAAATATTTTTTTTTAAAGATCATAGAGTTTATTTTTATAATTATGAAAAATATTAAAAAGAAATTAAAAACATAAAAATTTAAATAAAAACTAAAAAGAGACTATTTTATTATTTTTATAAATTTTTGGGGTTATTTTTATAAAGTTTTAAAACTAGTAGGGTGTTTTTATAATTAAAACAAATAGAATTCTGTTAATTTAGATGAAAATTAGCAGAATGGACAAAATCAGCTAACGGTTGGATAGTTTAGGATAATATTGGCTAATCGAAAAAAAATAGAATAAAATTGACAATGCATGTAAAGTTTTGGATAGATCAGTCAATTTTCCCAAAGAATTGTATCATGCGCATTGAAAACAAATGTTTTTAGCTTAGAATCTTTAGATGACATTGATAATGGGACCCAGCTCTGTTTAACAACTAAACCATTTGAGCTTCTCAACTTTTATACTTTACTTACTCAAACATTACGGTGGTGGATTAAATGTTTTTATTTTAATTTTTTTTTTGTTCGTTAAAAAGCTAAACGTATATAGGGAGCTCCTTAGTTCCATAATATATGAATTGTACCTGGAAGCTCCTCAATTTCATACAATGGAAAATTGTTCTCTCTCTTCGTGTCGAGTTTTATTCGAGTTACAAATACATCTTTTCTCCATGCGAAATTTAAAAAGATTAATG